AAAATATAATAAATAGAAAGGGAGGGAGGGAGGGAGAGGGAGAGAGAGAAGTGTACATCCTTTCATGTGGCTCCTGAGTCGCCTTCCTTGGAAAGCTGATATGGAAAGGTCAGGGACTAAGCTCTCTTCCAGCCCAGATGAGGAGAAGGGATGTTTGCCCCCACTGCCATTACTATTCTTTTAGTTAGTTGAGTTTTTTTTTTTTCTTTTTTCTTTTTTAGCTTCCCTGAAAGCCACATGTGCAAAGTTCTCCATCATCTCTGTACAGGGCCTTCTGAGCAAGCATCAGGGTGGTCCATTCCTTTTTAGTGAAATACAGAAATAAAAAAAAAAAAATTCGGGAGGCAGAGCCAGGTGGATCTCTGTGAGTTTGAGGCCAGCCTGGGCTACAGAGTGAGTTCCAGGACAAGCACCAAAATTACACAGAGAAACCCTGTCTCAAAAAACAAAACAAAAGTTTACTAGAGATGGTGAAGTGGCTCATCAGGAAAAGGGGCTTGACGGTCTGAACTGAGTTGTATCCCCAGGACACAGACAGTAGAAGGGGATCTTGAGTTTGTGTCTTTCGGGGATCCACTAAGCATCTCTGATTTTGGGAAGGAGGTGTCAGAGCTACCGAGCTATCACCTCCTTAAGCCAGGAATGCGGCTCCCATTGAGTTGGAGAGAAAGAAACAGAATAGGATGAAGGGAAAATGCCACAAAACTTGATGTAGTTGCAAAGAATTTTCCCTTGCATAAATATTCAGTGTATGGCCAGTCTCTGGTTTGTTGCCAGAAATCTGAAAAGGTTGCTCTTAAGAAATTTGGGGGAGCTGGAGAGATGGCTCCTAGGTTAAGAACACCAACTGCTCTTCCAAAGGACCCAGGTTCAATTCCCAGCACCCCCCACAAGGCAGCTCACAACTGTCTCTAACTCCAGTTCCAGGGGACCCGAATCCCTCATACAGACATATATGCAGGCAAAACACAAATGCTCATAAAATAAAAATAAATTAAAAAAGGAAATTTTGATGCCGGGCGGTGGTGGTGCACACTTTTAATCCCAGCACTCCGGAGGCAGAGGCAGGCGGATCTCTGTGAGTTTGAGGCCAGCCTGGGCTACAGAGTGAGTTCCAGGAAAGGTGAAAAGTTACACAGAGAAACCTTGTCTCAGGAAAAAAAAAAAAAAAAAAGGAAATTTTGGAAGTTTTTCCTGTGATTTTTATGGAGTGAATTTTTTAATTTTTTTATTTTATAATTTAATTTAACTTTACATATCAGCCATAGATTCCCCTGTCCTCCCCCTCTTCTTGCCCCCCCTTAATTTTTTTTTATTTTGCAAAGGTTGGGAGGATGGGGTCTTATGTAGTAACCCAGGCTGACCTCAAGCTGGAAATGTAGCTGAGGTTGACCTTGAGTTTTTCTTATCCTCCTAGCTCCACTTCCCGAGTGCTGGAATTACAGATGTGCACCTCAGGCTGGAATGGAGGAAGCTAGCCAGTTCTCTACCAATGCAGTCATAGCCCACATGGGCATATAATTCATTTCCTCCACTTAATACCTTTATGTGTTTTCTCATATCCACATATATAAAAGCATGCTTCTTTTTTTCTCTTTTTTTTTTTTTTTGGCATAGGGTCTCAAGTAGCCCAGGTTGGCCTTCAACTCTCCATTCTCCTGCCTCCAGCTCCCAAGGGCTGGGGTTATAGGTATGCAATGCCATGCTGGGTTTATGCAGGGTTTTATGAACGATAGACAAGCACTCTACCAACTGGGCTACAACCCCAACCCTCAAGTGAACGGCTTTTGGGTTTTGTTTTTGTTTGTCTGTTTTTTTTTTTGTTTGTTTGTTTTTGTTTTTGTTTTTTTTTTTGAGACAGGGTTTCTCTGCGTAGTTTTGCACCTTTCCTGGAGCTCACTTGGTAGCCCAGGCTAGCCTCGAACTCACAGAGATCCGCCTGGCTCTGCCTCCCGAGTGCTGGGATTAAAGGCGTGCGCCACCACCGCCCGGCTGTCTGTTTGTTTTTTAAGACAGGGTCTCACTATGTAGCTCTGGCTGGCCTGAAACTCATTATGTAGACCAGGTTGGCCTAGAACTCCTAGAGATCCACCAGCCTCTCCCTCTGGAGTATTGGGATTAAAAATGTGTGCCACTACACCTTTATTTTTTTAATAACTTACATTGGTGTTTTAGTATCCTAGGACTGGAGTTACAGACAGTTGTGAGCTACCATGTGGTTTCTGGGAATTGAACCCGGATCCTCTGGAGGAACAGTCAGTGCTCTTAACCTCTGAGCCATTTCCTCAGCCCGGTTGTTCTTTTTGATGGTATAGTTTTTTTGTTTTTGGAGACAGGGTTTCTCTATGTAGTTTTGGTGCCTGTCCTGGATGTTGCTCTGTGGACCAGGCTGGCCTCAAACTCACAGAGATCCACCTGGCTCTGCCTCCCGAGTGCTGGGATTAAAGGCATGTGCCACGGCTGCCCGGCTGATGGCATAGTTTTTTGACAGGACTTCACACTATATCCTGAATTGGCCTTGAACTTATACCATGGCATGTGTGTGGGGTTCCGAGGACAACTTTTCAGAATTGATTCTCTCCATGTGAGTCCCAGGGATTGAACTCAGGTTGTCAGGACTGGCAGCAAGTGTCTTTCTTTACCTGATGATTCATCTTAATGACCCTGGTGAATTTTTAAGACTTATTTTTCTTTTTTGATAGTGCTGAGGATAAAACCCAGGGCCTGTGGTCTCCCACTGAGCCCACTCCAGCCTCAAAGTTTCTCCATCTGCCATTTTCTTCCTTTGTATTCATTCCCTTGTGGCTGGATGGACATGTGATCATTTATTTAACCCATTCCCTGTGGTTGGACATTTAGAACACTTTTCAGACTTTGGCAATTACATGTGATGTTGATAATGAACATTACATATCTGTCACTTTGCGCCTGCTCAATGAGCTGTGAAATAACCCCCCGAGGTGGAATTGCTGGGTTGAATCTACATGAGTTCATAATCTCAGTAACTACAGCTCAAAGTGTCCACGTGACTTAGCAGAGCCACTGACATTCCCACCCCCAGGACAAAAGAGTTCCTGTTCCCTTCATAGTCTTGCCAACTGAAAGCCTTCTCTTGTGTGTGTGTATGGAGGCCTCTGTGTGTGTGTGTGCTCATATATGTGCATACACATGTATGTGTGTGCATTTGAGTCCAGAAGTTGACATCTGGCATCTTCAATTGCTCTCCATCTTTTCTGCCTGCATGCATGTCTGTGGACCATGCACATATGCCTGGTGGCCCTGAAGTCAGAAGAGGGTATCAGATACCCTGGGACTGAAGTATAGATGGTTGTGAGTCACTATGTAGGTGTTGGGAACCAAACCCGGTCTTCTGTAAGAGCAGCCAGTGCGCCGGGTGGTGGTGGCGCACGCCTTTAATCCCAGCACTCGGAAGGCAGAGCCAGGCGGATCTCTGTGAGTTCGAGGCCAGCCTGGACTACCAAGTGAGTCCCAGGAAAGGCTCAAAGCTACACAGAGAAACCCTGTCTCAAAAAAACAAAAAACAAAAAACAAAAAAAAAAGAGTTACAGGTGATAGTGAGCCACCATGTGAGTTCTGGGAATCAAATTCTGGTCCTCTGAAGAGCAGCAAGTGCTCTTAACCATTGGGCCAACTCTCCAGCCCCAGTTTTTTTTTTTTCTAGACAGGGTTTCTCTGTGCAATATAATAGCCCTAGCTGTCCTGGAACTCCCTTTGTAGACCTGGCTGGCCTCGAACTCACAGAGAACCACCTGCCTCTGTCTTCCATCCACTACCCCGCCTAGATTTTTTCTTTTTCCTTTTTGACAAAGGTCAGATAGCCTCATCCTCCCAGCTAACTCTAAGGATAGCTGGCCTCTTGGAGTGTTCCAAACAGTCCATGGCCCCATGGCTGCCAGTGTGCCCCACAAACAGACATTGGCTAGAGAGGCATATTCTAATGTAAGCCTCCCCAACTTGAGTCAATTCTCCCTACACACACACACACACACACACACACACACACACACCCCTCACAGCCAGGCCACAGCCTCTGCCTTGCTTAGGCTGAAAACCCAGAACGCCAACAGATGGCCTTCCTAATATGGGCACAGGACTGCCTCCCACCCCATCAGGTCTTTCACATTGAGACTCCCAACCCCCTGAGTACATGGAGGTGTGTCTGTGTTCACTTCTGTTGAATGTGGTGGACTTCTGTGGCTGCCCATCAAGGGTGGAGGTGACAACAATGGTGAGAGCCAGAGCTGAACACATCTGCTGGTTTTCTTGAGATGCTTGTGCTTAAACTTGGCAGCCATGTTGTAAAGAAGGCCAACTAGCCCAGAGGAGGTGACATGGAGGTGTTTTTGCTGAGGCCAAGGTCAACACTGATATCCATAACCAGATGGGAATGATGGTACACACTTGTAATCCAGCATTTGGGAGGCAGAAGCAGGATTAGGAATTCAAGAACAGCCTTGTCTACATATAAAATTTGAAGCCAGCCTAAGCCACTTGAGATCCTGTCTCAAAGAAGAATGAAGGAGGGGGACTGGAGAGCTGGCTCAGCAGTTAAGAGCACTGACTGCTCTTGCAGAGGACCCAGGTTCAATTCCCAGCACCCACATGGTGGCTCACAACTGTCTGTAACTACAACACCCTTCCACAGACAAAACAAAACACCAATGCACATTAAAAAAATAAGTAATTTAAAAAAAAAAAAAAAAGAGGGTTGGGGATTTAGCTCAGTGGTAGAGCGCTTGCCTAGCAAGCGCAAGGCCCTGGGTTCGGTCCTCAGCTCCAGGGAAAAAAAAGGATCTTCTATTCCAGCCTGGTCTACAGAGCGAGATCCAGGAAAGGCACAAAGTTACACAGAGAAACCCTGTCTCGAAAAACCAAAAAAATAAAAAAAAAAAGAATGAAGGAACCTCCCCACTTGAGCCTACAAAACAGACCACAAATGGATAGTCAAGAGTCTCTGTTGGAAGGACCACATAGTTGCCTGGTTTTCTAAATCAAGGTAATTTTATTTGAGATTTTCTACATGCCACAAATTTACATTAAGAACAGCCATTCAGAATGTAGTTTGTCAGCACCACAGAGACACCTGGGTGAGTGTCACTACCAGATACCAACTACAGGCAGTTCTCCAAGATAGACAGGAGTCAGGGCAGTCTGTCATCAAAAGAGGTGGGGATGGTCACTTAGCACCTGGTCACAAGGCCTTACCCCATGCCCCAAAACAAAACACTCCACTCAGATGCTGCCAGGTAAAGTTACACACAGTCTGTCATGGTCAGAAGTGGCATAGGAGAGGCTTCACGCTATTACCTAGACATGTGCTCTTGTGTGTGCATACACACAGACACACCTACAGATGCACGCACACTCTTACTGTGGAAACCCTTGTTCGTACACATATTCCTTGCACAGCAACCCATGAACACTTCGTCAGCACAGAGGTCAGGGCTTTGGATGGAGTCAAGCCTGCCCCATCTGCAGCCCCAGGTTCTGAGGCAGGTTCCAGGCCAGCATTAGCAGCAGCAGCTTCAGGGACCCTGGCCTCCCTGAACAGCACCGCTGCAGGCAGCCCTATGGGAGCCTGCCAGGTCTGCCTGGGGCGGGACAGGTTCAGCCAAGCTCCTGGTCCAATAATTCAAAGAAAAGCCCACCCACTGGTGGTCCTCCAAAGAGATGTAAGAGTGCAACCACTGAGCAGCTAACATAGTACCCACGGCTGGTCTAGACCCCCATGCAGTATTGACAGAGCCTAGTAACTTCTATTGTACCCTGCAGCCCCAAATGCAGATGAGACCAGTCACAAAACCCTTGCAACAGTGCAGTGGATGCTGCTAATAATTGCAAGTACTAGTGAATTGGTGACATCCACAGGAAGAATGTAGGACTCACTACCTGCAGTCACATTTCATATCCCATTCAAAATTTCCTCTCTCTCTCTCTCATCTCTATATGGTACAGAGTTTCATGTAGCCCAGGCTGGTTTCGAATTCCTTATATAGCCAAAGCTGGCCTTGAACTCCTGATCCTCCTGTTTCTACCTCCTGTGGTCTGGAATGACAGGTATGCCCCACCACACTTCTCTTATTTTTCCTTGTAAGAGTTCAGCAATTTCCAGCTCTTCTAAGGGGTAGGTCACAGCAAAGGCTGGAGGGAAGGTGGCATGCTGGCATCTCTTGCAAGGGATGTTAGGGTGGCTGTCCATCCTTCTTGAGGGTTTGGCCTTGGCTCATAGAGGCCTGGCCCTTGGCACCCACAGCCCCACTGCTTGGGCTGATCTTTCCCACAGACCCCTCTGAGCCTAGACCAGCCCAACCCCCACCATCTTGCTAAGCACTTAGCTTTTAACTTTGTCTGATGCGGTAGACAGACACTGAATTTGCCCTGGATCCCCAAATGTGAGAGGCACCCAGTGGGTTCAGTGTCTGGGCCCAGCCCTCCCTGGCCACAGCCTAGATCTAGACCAGGTCTGAACCTCATAGCCTTGTTACAAGGCCTCAAGGGTCAATGGCAGGACAGAGCCTGTCCCTGTCATATAAGAGCAGAACACTTCTTACCCTGGCCGATAAAATTCCTCCTTATGAAAATCAGGAAAGCAGGTTGGGGAGATAGCTCAACGGGTAATGTACTTGTTGCATGAGGAACTAAGTTCAGATCCCCAGAACCCACAAAAAGCCAGACATGGTAGTGCACATCTGTCATCACAGAACTCCCATCAAGAGATGGGAGACAGACAGGAGACTCCCTGGAAGTTCATGGGCCAGCTAGCTTATACAACAGCAATCAAGAAACCCTGTCTCAAATGAGGTGGAAGGTGAAAAGAGACACCCATGATTGCCCTCTGTTCTCTGCACATGTGCCATGGCACATACAGACCTGCACACACATACATGCACACTTGCACATCGAGTTTTAAGAAGAGAGAAAATGAGGAAAGCCACTCGGTGAGCTCAGTATGGTTTGCTGGTATGTGCCAAGCCACAGGGTTAGGAGACATGGCATCAAAGACAAGACATAAAACACAAGGGCTGGCTGGGCAGTGGTGGCACACGCCTTTAATCTTAGCACTTGGGAGGCAGAGGCAGGAGGATCTCTGTGAGTTTGAGGCCAGCCTGGCCTACAGAGTGAGTTCCAGGACAGCCAGAGCTACACAGTAAGACCCTGTCTTGAAAAACCAAAATAAATATAACAACAAACAACACAAGATCTAGAGAAGGAGGTAGAGGCAAGAGCAGCCTGGGCTGGGCTGAGGCAGGGATACAGGCAGCCATGGAAGGTCAGGGGATTTCTGTTTACAAAGGATAAATTCACCTATCTCCCTCCTCTCTCTACCACAGAGAACACACACCACAAGATGCAAACTTGTGTGCATGCACACAGGCCTACCTAGGTATACATGCACACACATGCAGGTGCAAACACCCATGTATACTTGCACACACACGCATCAGGCACATAGATACCCAGCACAAGCACTCACTGTCTTCTTGGCAGGCAGCATATGGTCTGCCACTTAACAGCCGAGTCCTGCCAATCCGGGACCATTAGGGTGGGTTCTTTTCCCAGCGTCAAATGCTGCAGGCTATAAATTGTGATTAACACCGGTGCCAAAATAGCACTTAGCAAAAATAAGCATGCTATTGACATCTGGTGGATCCTGTCCCCAGTGGAGAAAGAGAGAATTCTCACTTGAAGTCAAAGGACTGCTGCAAGAGACACTAAGAATACCAGGCTACGACTTGGGGTTGCTTCCTCAGACAGTCTGCACCCCAGCCTCCTGTGAGCAGCCCCTTCCTGTCAGCCCAGTTTCTGGACATGAATGATACCACTGGCTAAAACTGCTGGCTCTCACAGGATTGACAGGACAGCTCTGGCCTTTGGAATAAAATCCAAGCAGAAAGGTGAGTTCCTGTCTGAAGGAAAAAGGCTGCTATTTGTTTGGTGTTTTTGTTGTTTTTTGAGATAAGGTTTCTATGTAGCCCTGGCTGGCCTAGAACTCAGAGATTCATCTGCCTCTCAAGTGCTGGGATTAAAGGGCTGCACCACCACACCCAGCTGAGTGGAACTTCCTTTAAAGGAAAAAGTCACAAGGCCTCTTGAGACCGATACCTCCAAGCAACCTGCCTCCCTCCTAGGCTGTAACCAGCCACATTCTCATTTTAAGGACATGCAGCAGCTGGTCCTGGAAAGCCTACACAGTGGCCTTCAGGTGCCAGTTTAATGCTCTAAAGACATGCCCAGAAACTGGGGGAAGGAGTCCCACTACCTTTGGGACCCTTGTCTACAGCTGTATGGGACCTCAGTCTGCCTCCTGGAACCTTGGCAGCCCATCCCATGGCAGGCAATGCCAGGAAAAGACAGGGCAAGCTTATAGCTCTCAGAAACTGTGTTAGGTCTGTGAGGGCAGGAGCTCTGGGTGTGGGGTGGGTATCCCCTGGGATTGGCCTACAGACAGACTGACTGACCCCTCTGGGAGGGAGTACCTTGGGCTCTACAGAGAATGAAGATCCTCTCAAGCAAGAGACTGGACGGGGAGCGAGGGGCTGGCACTGCAGGCTGTGTATAAACACCGGGCTAGAAGAGCAGGGGCCAGGCAGAAGTACTTCTCTTGGGGCCTGGGACTGAGGGCTGTTTCCCTAACACCTTCCCCAGAGCCAGGTCAGAAGCCCCCAGGCCTCCCCAGGCTCCAACTGCTAGGCACAGCCTGCCCAAGACCACAGGTCACACACCCAGAGGCCAGTTCACTCTGTTCCTTACCTAGAAGGGAAGCTGAGGAGACCACAACTTAAGAAGACCTGTTGCCAAGGAGACAGAGGATGAGGGCAGGCTGGGTCTGGGATGGTCACCAGCAGTGAGCAATGTCTGGTGAACCTGCATGAACTGAGATGTCCAGACTGGAAGCTACCTAGATCAATGTCCACAGCATAATGGGGACCCATCACCAAGAGAGGGCCAGGCAGGAGTCTAGTTGGACCAATCCAGCTACAGGCTCTCACAAGTCCCCTCTAGGGGCTACTGACTCTTAGTCTCACTAGGGTGAGGCCACAGACACTGGGTCCTCCCTCAAGTTTCTTTTCTTTTTTCTTTTTGTTTTATTGAGATTAAGACAGGATCTTATGTAACCCAGGCTAGTCTCTACCTCAGTTATGGAGCTGAGGATGCCCCAACCTCCTGCCTTGACCTCCTGAATGCTGGGATTACAGGTGTGAGACACCATGAAGGTGTAAGCAGTGCTGGGGATGGAGACCGGGGTCCATGCACACTCACTAACTAAAGCAGTACCCACAGCTCTCAGTGAATTTCTGGAAGGACGAAACGGGTATGTGCTCCTGCTGCAGCCTCCTATGCCCGCTCTGGCTTTTACCGTTTTTAGCTGTTCTAACAAGGCCAGTGGTTGTGGACTTCCTAGGAAGCGTTCAGACCTCCACAGCACCTGGAGTTTGTAAGCAGAAGCCTATGTACTGTGGGGAGAAGTGACCCTTGTGAGCCAGAGGCCCAACTCCTCAGGCTCAGCTTGGGGATGATGTCATCCCACAGTTCCTGCCCCAGGGGACCCTCTGGCACAGGTATTATTGGGCTGAAAACATCCCAGAGACATCATTGGGTTAAAACATTTTCTTTTTCTTTGTGGTGGGGATGAAACCCAGGGCCTCATACACAACGGGAGAGTGCTCTGCCATTGGGCCATGCCCTAAATGTGTCTCAGTAGGAAAAGGAGCCACAGGCTCAGAGATGTCCTTGTGGGTATTTCACAGTGAGAGCCCAGCCCACCCTGACCCCATGTGGATACAGTCACATAACTGAACTCAACTGTAGATGACCATGGACAAAGGGACAGAGGGACAGTCCTCATGCTGAAGTAAGCAGGTGGATTGGGGCCTGCAGTCCACAAAGCCCCTGGGACTGTGGCCAGGCCCTGAAGGCTCTCACATCCACGGCCTCCTTGATCATTGTCACTGAGCCAAGTATTCTTGAGAGCAAGTGAGAGGGGTAAATGTCTCAGAACAACTGGAAACTCTTTCTTCCCATCACAAAACAAGGACCTACTGTCCGCTGGCTTCTTGGACCCTTGTGGAGACTCAGACAGAAAGAGTCTCTGCTAACAAGAGTGGCGGGGCTGGGGCCAGGCAACCCTCTCACCACCACAGGTTCGGTGGCTCCTCAGCCACTCTGCTTTTAAACAAGGTGATCTCGTCCAGGTGCACCATGGGGACATCTCGGATGACATCTGTCAGGCCCTCGTGGAGCAGGGGGAAGATGACGACGTTCAATGCGGGCCTCTCAGCCTGGAAACTGAACCAGAGATCAGCCATTAACAGGTGACGCAGCTCAGAAGGTAAAGGGCTCGGGGGGGCCACAGGAGACCCTGGGTTCAGTCTCTAGCACACATGCTTCTGATTCTACTTAAGTCATCAGAGTCCTAGAGCCAGAAAGTAGAGAGGAGGGAACTGGGGCTGGGGCTGGGGCTGGACAGTCAGTGTATAACACATATGGAACATCTGTCTGGAACATGAAGGGTTCAAGAACAGAGAGTAGTGATGAGTACACACACTGAAAACAGTGATGGGGCCGGGCAGCGTTGGGCACACCTTTAATCCCAGCACTCAGGAGGCAGAGCCAGGCAGATCTATTTGAGTTCCAGGCCAGTTTGGCCTACAGAGCAAGATCCAGGACAGGCACCAAAACTACACAGAGAAACCCTGTCTCAAACAAACAAACAAAAAACCAGTGATGGGCTGGAGAGATGGCTCAGGAATTAAGAGCACTGGCTGCAGCTAGGCGGTGGTGGCGCATGCTTTTAATCCCAACGCTCAGGAGGCAATGGTAGGTGGATCTCTGTGAGTTCGAGGCCAGCCTGGTCTACAGAGTGATTCCCAGGACAGCCAGGACTACACAGAGAAACCTTGTCCAAGAACCCAGGTTCAGTTCCCAACACCCAAATGGTGGCTCACAGCTGTCTATAACTTCAGTCCCAGGAGATGCAACACCATCTTCTGACCTCTACAGGCACCAGACACACATGATGCACAGACATACATGAAGGCAAAACACTTATGCATATAAAATAAAAGGAAAATAAAAGGAAAAAGAGTAAACAGTTACTGCCAGGCTGGGTATGCTCAGTGGGTAGAGTTCCTGCCTAGTATCCCTGAAGCCCTGGGTTCGGTCCCCAGCACTTTATTAAACAGGTATATTTTTGTAGCCCCACTACTCAGGAGATGGAGGCTGCGGGTCAGAGGTTCAGGTCATTCTCAGCTACATACTAGGTTTGATGCCAACCTGGGCTACAAAAAACCGTTTCAAAATAAAAAACAAGCCAAGTGTGGTGACACATACATTTAATCCCAGCACTCGGGAGGCAGACGCAGGGGATCAAGAGCAAAACTCACTTGGGGTGAGATGAGGGGCAGGGACACCCAAATGCTCTGCTTGGCCTGATGGTCAAGTCACTTCTCTGCCCACAGAGCTCCTGTCAGCAGGAGCCCCAAAACTGGAAACACCTCACCCCACTGTTCTTAAACATTCCCTTGCACTGTTCCATAGGAGACATCAGAAAAGGTGGGGGTGCAGACCAAAGCTGGGGAGGGCACAGGGTAGATGGTGCTGTACCCACACAACCTAACCACCCTCAAACCAGCACTGGCTGACCGGAGCAGCAATGTGACTTGACTCTGTACTCATCTGGAAAACTGGAGGCTCTGGGAGGACTGCAAATGACTCAGTGGTTACTGACACTGGCTGTCCTTGCAGAGGACTTGAGTTGGATTCCCAGCACTCACATGGCAGTGCACAACCAACCATCTGTAACTGCGGTTCTAGGGGGATTCAGCACCTTCTACTGGTCTCTGCAGGTAACTGGACCCACACGGACATACACCGATACACAAGCACATAAAGATAAAAACAACTGGAGGCTCTGGAGTAGGAATAGAAGCCCCAGGTCACATCACCTTTGGCTCCACACCCAGATGTCAGACTACCTAAGGAAACACCAGACAACACTTTCCCATCTGAAATAGCCTGTGGCCCCAGACAGACACCTCATGTCCCTCACTGAGCCCTACATGCTGCCAATGCTACAGTGGGCCCAGGCACCCAGGCCATCTTCTCCAGGCCTCACAGTTCACAGTTCCTGGCTCCTGAGCATGCTCCATGGAGCTGGAACTTAGCAGTCACTTGCTCAGTATCCAGACCACAGTTCTCCCAACCGAGACAGCCAACATAGACCCATGTGGCCAGCTTGCCAAGTGGGAACATCCCAACAGCCAGCTCTAGAGCCATCATGGAGCAGTGTTGAGGCACGAAGCTTCCCAGATTCCAACTGCCTCCTACAGAAGATGTGAAGGCTACAAAGCAGTGCAAAGCCCATTCTTTTTTCTTTTCTTTTTTTCTTCTCAAGACAGGGTTTCTCTGGGTATCCCTGGCTGCACTGGAACTCACTCTGCAGATAAGGTTGGCCTGAAACTTGGATATCCGCCTGCCTCTGCCTCCTAAGTGCTGGGATTAAAGGCGTGCACCATCCACCATGGCCAGCTTTTTTTTTTTTTTTTTTTTAAGTTTTTGAGACAGAATTTCACATTTCATGTTTCCCAGGTTGGCCTCAAATTGTGATGCAGTTAAGGGTGACCTTGAACTTCGGATTCTCCTGACACCACCTTCCAAGTGCTGGGATTATAAACCACTATGCCCACTTTGTACCATGCTGGGATGGAACCTAGGTCTCTGTGCATGCTAGCCAAGCACTATACCAACCGAGCCACATTCCCAGTCCCTAATCCATTCTTGAAAACTGACATGCTCTCAATGTTGGCCAGACTTAAGCAATCTCCTGTTCCACCTGAGAACATTCTCTCCTCTGCATGTCTGCAGACCAGACACAGACCTGATGCAGACCGAGCCATTTTCCTGGCATGGAGAGTCACATCTGTGCATTCTGCCTTGAGCATAGCCCCTGGGGCTGCCATAGGCCAGAGCTTGCCAGAACACAGCAGCAGAGGACAAGTTGGTAACTATGGTTCTGGCAAGCTGGGAACTTACAAGGGGCACAGTAGGGGCTGGGCAGCCAGTTGGCCTCTCAGGGCCATATGTCCCAACAGACAGCCACAGACCACAAACACACTTTAAGACCCCATGTGGGAAGGCAATACCAACTGGGTCTCAAGAGAGAGTGGCATGGGTACCACAGTGGGCAGCAGACCTCTGTCACACCAGCCCGAGAGGAACTAGAGAACAGTGCCTCCCACTCAGGTTTGGGATTCCTGAATCTTTAGGATGGAGGCTGCATGACCCTAGCACAGGCCTCTGGGCTTACAGATGTCAGGTCTGCATGCTCCAGGGAAGCAGTGGCTCTGCCCTAGCCTTCACTGGCTTGGCTACTGGCTGTGGTTGTGCCAGGGGCTATCATGCATGCTCCTGAGCTTGGGCTCTGATGCAGAGAAGAGGCAGGACCTGGAAAAATCCTACACAGGATTTAAGCCAGCATGCCTGGGCCATGTGGAGGCGCTATGAAGAGCCTACAGTAGGCAGAATGTGAGGAGGGAAGTCGGGAAGCCCGTCTCAAAACCACTGGGAAGACGGCACTGGGGGGGACAGCAGGTAATATTTACCTACATCACAGCCCACCCAGGGAGGGCATGGAGCCGATCTATCACCGAAAGGTTCCGGTTGTGCCTGGAAGATACGACTCACTAGAGACAAAGTGGGAGAAGCTCACTTAGGGTCTCAGGACTGGTGAGACATGCGCAGGCTAGACCTCAGCCATGCCACAGTGACCAGCCCTCACTGCAAACCAAGAGACCAGGTGACACAGGGTACCCCGTCCCCAGGGCTAATAAGGAACAGGCCCAAGGAGAGCCCAAGACTTATGGGGCCTCCTTGCTTGCCAGGTCTGAGAAATGGCAGTGAGAAAGAGGAGTACAAGATGGGGTCAGCAGACGGCCATATGCCAGGGCCCAGACGCTGATGCCAAAGTGCTGCAGCGAGACACCAGTTAGCAAGGTGGCCACACACAGAACTGGCCAGTACAAGTTTCTAGGAATGATAGGAATATGGACAGAGGCAGGGATGGTGCTGGACAGGTGTGTGTGCCTGAGGCCAAGAGCAAAGTGGAAGGTCTGGGGTACTGGTAGGAACTCGGATAAGCTGGGCAGACACACTCCTCTGCTCATCATCCTGGGAGACCACAAGTCCCCAGGGTCCATCAGGAATCTCTGTCACTGAGTCTGGTCCCCAGACACTGAATTCATACAGGGACAAAGAGGTCCAAATAGGGGAGGGACATGCAGAAGAACATAATCCAACACCCAGGGGGGCTGCACGGTGCAAAAGGTGAGAAAAGGAGCCGGCAAGGCGGTGCATGCCTGTATTCTAGCACTGGGGAGGTTTAGATGTCAATCCCCAGAACGGCACCAGACGCATGAAATACCCTGGGACATGGCTCAGCTACAGATATGCACAGGCCCAGCACAGCACACATCTAATGTGGCAGCATATGCTTGTGATACCAAAACTTGAGAAGTAGAAAGGGGAGGATCAGTAGGATAAGGTTATCCTTCACTCCATTAGAGGTTAGCCTGGGATACACGAGACCTTATTTTAAAAAAAAAAAGACATGGGACACAAAACATGGAGAAAAGTGAAGTCCATGACACTGTGTGTGTGACATTAGACACAGAGGCAACCTAAATCCAGTTGCTTCCTGTGAGGTGGGGGGAATCCAAATCCAAACCCCAAAACATGAAGAGCCTGAGCTGCAGTCTTGGCATCAAAAACAAAGACAGCCAACACAGGAGGGTGAGAAAGAAGCAACTGCCCAGGGACCTGAGGCATGCAAGCAGCCTAGCATGGGGACAGACGCAAAGGGTGACCCTGGAAAGAACTAATATTTCCCCAATTATGGAAGCAGGGAAGAAGGCCTTGTTGGCCGAGACCTCCCCACTGTGCACTGAGGGGGTCACAAAGCATGCAGCAGCTGGAGGGGGTGCTCAGTGCTTCCCTGAGCTCTCCAGGTGACAGAAGAAGAGCACTGGGGGTTGCTCCGTGTGGCTGAAGCAGGAAATTTAAGGCCAGCCTGGGCTACCCCAAAGGTGGTATGACGTGCCTATAATCTCAGCACTTAGGAAATGGAGGCAGGAGGGTGAGAAGCTGAATGTCACCCTCAGCTCCACAATGAGCTCCAAGCCAGCCTGGGCTACAAAAACCCTGTCTAAAGAGTTCTTAAACTAAACAGACAACAAAAGCATCAGGAAAGAGCGCGGCCGCCCTGCTTTTCACAAACACCCTGGGCACCGAGTAGCTGGCCACTGAGAGCAACACTGCCACCTGCTGGACCACGGCAGCAGAGCACCCTGCAAACTGGGCCTGGATCAGGACTCAGCACTTACCCTGAAGAGCTTCTCACACCAGCCGACAGCTCCCTCTCCCTTGATTTACATTTTCTTAAGACAGGGTCTCATGTAGCCCAGGCTAGCCTCAAACTCACTATGTAGCAGAGGATGACCTGAGTCCTACCCCACCAGCCAAGTGCTGAGATTACTAGCATGTGCCAGTACATCTGCAGTACTATAGAGATTGAGATCTATTTATTTATTTAGGTTCATGTATATACGTGAGCCCACATATGTTTATGTGCACCACATGTATACAGGTGCCTGAGAGGCCATGAGAGGCCAGGAGGTACCCTGGAACTAGTGTTTCAGGCAGCTGCAGGTGTGAGCCACCTGATCTGGTGGTGCGTCCTCTGCAGGAGCAGTAAGCACTCTTAACTATTGAGTTAACTTACTCAACTACTTAACTACTCTCTAGCCCTATGCTGCAGGAACTGACCCTGGGTTTGCTGCCTGCTAGGCAAGCATTCTACCAACTGAGCTAAACTCTCAGTCTCTTACTTGTTTTTTAAAATGGTCTTGTTGTATAGCCTAAGCTGGCCTTGAACTCACTATGTAGCCCAGGCTGACCCAAACTCCCTATTCCGCCTCAGCCTTCTGAGTGCTGGGATTCTAAGTTTGTAGCATCAAGCCTAGCTTCTTTCTCCCTTCTAAGGTGCAGTTCTGTCCTGCATGCTGCCAACTGGCTCCAGGGCTTCCTGTCTCAGCTCCCTCATCTGTAAGCTGTAGTTAATACACTATTCCTCAGGACGCCTGTGATAGAAGGACAGCTAACTCCTGAAAGCTGTCCTCTCACCTCTACACACGTGTTGTGGCATGCACACCTGTCCTGCAAACACACACAAAATAAATAAATGTACAAATGTAATACAAAATTTAAGTACTGACAGTCCATTCTGGTACCTGATAAAATGACCAAAAACATGGATAAACCAGGGGAGCCAGGAGGAGGTCTTTCCCATGGTGGCATTTCAGTAAGCGGAACAAAGGGAAGACAGAAAACAAAACCATCAGCAATGATCAGGGACTGTGCTTGTGCCCCCAACGTCCTCGTGCTGAAACCCTAACTCCTGACATGCTGCTAGCCAAAGGGATGAGATCTCAGCTCTCCAGAGGCAGAGAGGCAGAGAGGCAGAGAGGCAGAGAGGCAGAGAGGCAGAGGCAGAGGCAGAAGGAGCCACAAGTTCGAGGCAATCTGGTCTGCACAGTGAGTTCCAACCTAGCCTGGGATACAGAGAGACCCTGTCTCAATAACAAAAGGTGACACTTTCGGAGGTCTGAAGGCAGAGCCTTCACAATGATGAGGTCAGGATCAAGAAGTCCCTCCCAGGCCCACATGAGACACAGTGAACTAAGACTTTGGCTTCTAGACCCAGGATAAACTCTGTAGCTGAGGCTAGCCCTGAACTCCCAGGATCCTTGTATCTCAGCCTTCCAAGTGGCTGAGACCAGAGGCTGAGTTCCCTGCAGGAGGCCAGGCCCCCTGATCATGCTGCTGGGATCTGGTACTCCATCTCCCCAAAGTTGCTACTGGGCTGAAGACACTGGGTCCTGGGGACACTGGTAACCATCTAAGACCTCCCAGCCACCAAAAGACCATGACAGACCATGCTACTCACCTCCGGAGGAGCGACTGCTGCAGGCTCTTGCAGGTGATGAGGGATTCTCCAGTGAACATGTGACACACGACAACATGCAGGCAACGGGCCATAAAGGCCAGTACGGCATCCGGCTGCAGCGTGCCACTTCGAGACACCAGGCACAGGCGCTGCAGAGATGAACACTGGCCCAGTGCCTGGAAGAACTGTGCATTGGCGTTGAAATAGGGCTGCTCCAGCCTGCGGAGAGAGGGGTGTGAGTGCCAGGGACTTGGATCTCCCAAGGAGATCTTGACTCCAAGGATGAGAAGTGGCTAGTCACTGTCTACAGACCCTGCCAGCATGAACTGGCTCAAGGCCATCTGCCTTCCTTCCTCAGGATGCTCTCCCACCCCCACACTGTCATACCTGCTGGCCTTAGGACTCAGGACAGAGCAGCTGACGAATGCAGGAGAAAGTGGGGGCCCAGCAGGCCAGAGTGGTGGGGAAGGGGCAGAAAGGAAGAGAGCCCCTCAGGGCTGCTGAGGTCAGCATCTCACCAGCCCAGGGCACAAGCCCCACCACGCAGGCTCCACGGAAGGATCACTGCTGTTCCTAGACACGATGAACAGACCTCTTTAGGCCATGGAGGTGGCCGTGTGGCTTATCTCCTTCACCAAGGATACCAGTCACCTACACTGTCTGTAGAGCCCCAAGTGACACACATTCACATTGGAATTTTGATTCCCTCCACCCTTTTAAATTAAAAAGATATTTGTTTATTTGTTTATTTATTTATTTATATTTTATACGTATGTGTGTGAATTCCTGCACGTATGTGCACCATGTGTGTGCCTTGTACCCAAGGAGGGCAGAAGAGGTGTCAGATCCCTTAGAAACAGAGTTACCAATGGTTGTGAGCCACTTGTTTCTGGGAACTGATTCCAGGTCCTCTGCAAGAGTACTATATGCTCTTAACCACTGAGCTACCTTTCCACGGCCCCGCCCTTTTTCTTATTCCCTTTGGTTAGTGTGATGTCAGATTGAACTCAGGCCCTTAAGCATGCTAGCCTGGCTCGACCACTGAGCTACAACCCTAGCCTTTCACATATTTTTTCTATTTTTAATTGTTTTCCCCCTCAAGACAGGGTTTCTCTGTGTAGTCCTGGTTGGCCTGGAACTCGCTCTGTAGACCAGGCTGGGCTCCAATTCAGAGATCCACCTGCCTCTGCCTCTTAAGTGCTGCCATTAAAGGTGTGCTGCACCACCACCACCACCACCACCACCACCACCACCACCGCCTGGCTTTTCGCAGTGCTAGGAATTCCTCCACTGAACCATACTCTCAGCCCTTTAGTTTTTAATCTTGTTTTTATTCTTCCAAAATTTTGCATATGCCTATCATGTATATTAGTTATTTTCACCTCTCAATTTATATTTTGAGACAGGATTCAGTGGTCCTCCTGCCTCAGCTTCCCAAGTGCTTCTTGGGTGTGAAAGTGGCAGGAAGGAGGGGTTCAAGGCCCCTGGAAACCTTGAAGTTACCAGCAGCAGCCTGTGTGTGTGTGTGTGTGTGTGTGTGTGTGTGTGTGTGTGTGTGTGTCTGTGTGTCTGTGTGTCCTCCCCCTCCCCAATGCTTTCAACAGCAGGGGATGGAATCCCAGTGCCAGGCAACAGCTGTCACCTCCACCACTAGATGGCAGCATGGACTTTCACTGCAGGCCTAGGTGTCTCTAGGCCAACTGAGTTACAGTGGCAATGTGTCCTGTACATACTTTTAAACCGTTTCCAACTCGACAGCCACTTACAGAACCCTACCCTGAAAGAAGCCATGTCACAGTGTTTAGCCTGTGTGAATATACTATCTCTCTCACTCTCCAACTGTGGGACCAGTGAGCCCTGACCCTCTCCCCTGTACACAAGGCTGGCCAGCACCCAGGATGGCTGGGAAACTGACCTAATGGAGGTGTCAGCTGAGGGTAGACAGGGAACAAGGACATGGGATTCACCCAGATCAGACCTCATCCTAACTCTGACCCTTCCCAACTGGCTCAAACTACCAGCCAGCAAGGATCAGACCTCTCCTTGCCATTCAGCTCTCTGGGGTGACTATACCCATCCTCTCTGGCTCAAGAGGCTGATGTTGCACTCTTAGCCAGGCAGGATGAGGAAGAATGAGAGCTCAAAGTTGTTCCTGAGACTGTGCCAGCCCTGGCTCAAGTGGTTCTCTTGCTTCCGCCCAGGCAGCCTAGGGTGACTCAGGGTAATACCCCGCCTCCAGTCGTGGGAAAGGTGGCACCCTTTTCTGCCTGACACGTGATCCTCTCACCATAGAGGTGTGCCCCAAACCCACAGCCAGAACAACCTGTCCCTGTGGTACCTCCACCCCACAGGGAGCCAGGCTGGTACAAGCTCAGGTTCATGGCAGGCTGCAGTGGAGGTGGTAGCAGGTGAGCCTGGGATTCCTGGGGCTGCCATCAGAAGACTCCCCCAGAAAGTGCAGGTGCCCCTACAGCCCCCACAGCCGCAGAAAGCAACTCCCGAGCAAACAAAGCCTCCGGAGCCTACAGCTAGCTCCCGCCACCTGCTGCACCATCTCTTTGCTCGCCCGCCTCAGAAGGCAGTGATCCAGAGGAATGGGGCCATTTGGCTGTTCTGGAAGCCTGTGTTTGTTCAGAACAGGCAGTACCTCACACAGCAGACGGTTCTGTTGCTGTGGGCACAGGCTGGAGCCTGGGTAGAGATGCCACTATGAACCGTGATCAAGCTCTTGGGAAGCCTACAAGACAAATTTAACCCCAGTCCTACAGGCCTCCTATGATGCACACATGGTCCTAACTCTGGAGAGGATGCCAGGTCCCAGGTACAAACCAATACAATAGCCCAGGCTGGCTTGGAATACACAATCCTCTGAATCAGCCTCCCTGCACAACAAGTGTGCACCACCACACCTACTGCAAAAACACAAGGCTTGAATGGACCCATGAAAAACAAACACTGTCAGCAAGACAGAAAAATCTGGAAAGACCTTGGCTTTGAAAGAGTCAAAGTCTCACCTGGTACCCTTGAATTCAGAAAACTGTCCCAATCACAAGAAGTAATCAACAGCAGTGGCCTAGCAGAGGGGTTATCTACCCAATGTATTCTCTGATCCACCTCGTCTTTCTTTCTTTTTTTTTTTTTTTCCCTTGAGACAGTCTCATGTAGCTCAGGCTGGCCCAAATTATGTAGCTAAGGATGATCTTGAACCTCTGCCCCTCCTCCCTCTGCCCACCTCCCAATGCTGGTTTTGCAGGTGTGTGTCACCACACCCAGTTTGTATGGTACTGAGGATGGAACCCAAGACTGAGCTACATCCCCAGCCTGTACCTGTGATACATTTGCCGTTCTGGCAAACAATGATCATGCACTAACTGGCTTCAGGAAGGATCAGGGGTGTAACAGGACAGGCACAGGAAGACACAAGTGTGAGAGACACCACAAAGGAAGCAGTGAGGAAATGGAAGGCCTGGTGACTACAGGGAGCGGCAGATGCAGCCAAGGAGGAAGGCGTCCATCTGTGTGCCTGGGAAAGGTGAAAGGCAGATGTGGGAGAGGGAGGAGGGGTGGCTGCTGTAAGAGCACGTTCCCACTACAGCCACAAAGTTTCCTCTTAAGGCGGAGGGGGACCCAAGGCTTACATCAACTTCGTCTTGTTTTTATTGTTGTTAAAATAGGGTCTGTATAACCCAGGCTGGCTTTAAATTCACAACAGAGCCAAGGATGAGCTTGAACTCCTGCCTCCACCTCCTAAGTGCTGAGGTGACAGATAGGCATGCAGTCACAACATCTGGTTCTTTTTTTTTTAAGTGTGTGTGTGGGGGGGTCCTGTTGTTTTTGAATACAGGTCTCATTCTAGCTCAGGCTGACCCTGAACTCAAGGGAATCCTCCTGCCTTAGCCTCCTGAGTTGGGGGATTTTAGCCATATGCCACCACAATCAACTGACTGGGACCTCTAAACTAGGAGAGTAAGAAAGCTCACAGGAAGTTTCCCAAAGCAAGTATAGCCAGAAGGCACAGGACCCATACACATGGACACCCAAGCATGGACACCAGCTCTGTCGCAGAGACCTCCTGAGCTGAGATCAAGCTGGAGCAGCAGGGCAGGTGACCAGAAAAGACAGAGGCTTCAGACCCAGACAGCCTTAGCATGGCTCTGTTCCAAGGAGGACAGGAAGCAGAGCTCACAGCCTGGCTAAGCAGCTCTGGAAGGTTCTGGGCCATGAGCAACACAGGACCTGCTGACTTCCTGTCACACTCAAGCTAGGGGATCGAGAGGCAAAGGATACGCCCTGTCCTCCCTTGTGGATCCTGAGACCAAGCGAAGCTCTGGCTTAGATTGATAGGTGAGAGGCTTCCTGCTTTAGATTTGACATCAGCATCCATGGATATTGTGGGAGAAAGGTCAGCTTTGTGCCTGGCCCTCAGCACAGCTCCTGTGCTGGCTAGTTTTAGGTCACCTTGACACAAGCTAGAGTCATCTGACAGGAGGGACCCTCAATTGAGAAAATGCTCCCATGAGGTTGGGCTATAAGCAGATAAACCTGTAGACCATTTTTTCGTTTTTGAGGGGTTTTTTTGCTTTTCAAAACAGGGTTTCTCTGTGTAGTTTTGGTGCCTGTCCTGGTCCTGGATTTCGCTCTATAGACCAGGCTGGCCTCAAATTCAGAGATCTGCCTGGCTTTGTCTCCCAAGTGCTGGGATTAAAGGCATGTACCACTGCTGCCCAGCTGTAGGGCATTATTTTTCAAAATTAGTGATTGATGTGGGAGGGCCCAGCCCACTGTCAGTGGTGCCATCCCTGGGCTGTTGGTCCTGAGTTCTGTAAGAAAGGAGCAAGCCAGTAAGCAGCACCCCTGCATGGCCTCTGTCTCATCTCCTGCCTCCAGGTTCCTACCCTATTTGAGTTCTCATCCTGACAGGGATGTAGAAGTATAAGCCAAATAACCCTTTTCTCTTTAAGTTGCTTTTGGTCATGGTGTTTCATCACAGCACTAGCAACCCTCAGACAGGTACCAAAGAAGCAGTAATTGTACTAGAGACAGACATGTACAAATCCCTTTAGGCTAAGATATGACTTTGTGGCCTCAATGTTGCCTCCACCCACCCACCAACAGCTATGGACTGGCGCAGTCCTTAAGTCCTGTCCCTTCTTGCCTGCCCAGAGGCAAGAAGGTGTGTCATTATATGGTGTGTCCAGCGTAAACCTAGTATGGTGGAGCACCCTATAACCCCAGCATTTGAGAGGCAAAGGCAGGACAATCAGCAGTTCTAGTCATCCTCAGCTACACAGGAAGTATGTGTAGGACACATGAGACCTAGGACACATGAGAGCCTTTCCCAGAAGGAGAAAAGGAATGCTTACAATTGAAGAATGATAGGGCACTCCTGTGATCCCAGACGCTCTGGAGGTTAAGGTAGGAGGATCAGGAGTTAAAGGTCTTCCTGGATGACAACAGTGAGCTCAAAACAAGCCTAAAGAACTTGTTTAAAACACGGTAAAATGAGAGCTGGGGACAGAGCTCCATGGTGGAACGAGTCCTTGGAATACGCAAGGTCCTCACTGATCATGGGGGTACATGCCTATAATTCCAGATGGAGTGAGACCATAGTTAGAGACAATCCTGGGCTAGATGAACCTATCTAGAATCTATCTCAAAAATCCAAGGCAAAGTGACTCACACCTTTAATCCTAGCACTCAGGAAGCAGAAGCAGAAAGATCTCTGAGTTTGAGGCCAGCCTGATCAACAGAGAGCTCTAGGAAAGCCAGGACTACACAGAGAAACCCTCTCTCAAAAGCACAAATAAAAAGAACCAAAAATCCAAGGACTAGGAGGTGTGGCTCAGTGGTAGAGCACCTGCCTAGAATCCCCCAGTGAGGGGCTGGGGTGTGGCTCAGTGGTAGAGCACCTGCCTAGAATCCCCCAGTGAGGGGCTGGGGGTGTGGCTCAGTAGTAAAGGAACAAGACCTTCGTTCCATGTTCTATCCGCAGCACAAGAGAACCTTTTTTTTTGGTTTTTCGAGACAGGGTTTCTCTGTGTAGTTTTGGTGCCTGTCCTGGACGCCGCTCTATAGACCAGGCTGGCCTGGAACTCACAGAGATCCGCCTGGCTCTGCCTCTCGGTGCTGGGATTAAAGGCATGTGCTACCACCACCCGGAGAACCTTTTTTTAATGTAGGGTCTCACTAATTAGCCCTGCTTGGCCTGGAACTTACTATGTAGACCAAACTGCCCTCAAACTTGCCTCTGCCTCCTGAGTAGTGCTGGGATACAATAGAACTTTTATCCTTTAAATGTTGGATGATGACAAAAATACCCTTTACTTCACAGAGTGTTTCAGCATGAATCCACTCCACAGTTGGCTCTGGAAACACCTGGAAATTTTGTACTAGGAGTTTAACCCCTCAGGGTCTTGCCAAGTCACCCAGGCTGGGCTCAGACTCACTCTCAAGGACAATGGCCTATGTTTTCTATTTCCTCCCACTTTTCAGGATGGGTCCTGCTATCCTCCTCAAGGCCACCACTCCCAAAAGTCTGAGTTTACCCTGAGATGATCTGTCTCCCATCTTGCCTGCTCTTGTCTCCACCAGCAGCAGCAGCTCCCAGCAGAAGCTCTTCAGCACTCCTCTGCCTGGCCCTCCTGCCCCATCTCTCTCCCACCCTCCTCCAGGGGCCTGGCTGCTCTGCATCAAGGAGGTTTGAATACACTGTCATCTCTCTGTGCTTGTGCTTTTGGCTTTGGTGAGAAAGGGTCTTGCTAATATAAGCTGCCCTGGAACTCAAGCCTGTTTTCCTGCCTCAACCTTTTCTGGATGCTGGGATGCCAGGACTACAGGTGTGCTTGCACTCAATGAACATTTCTAGAACCCCAAGGCTTGTGTGCACATGCTATCAGACATCCCCTCCACCTTAGTTAAAGCTCCTAGCCAACTGCTACACACACTCCAAGAATTACTGTGAGGGTGCTTGGGAGACAGCTCAACTGGTAATAGTGCCTGCTAGTGGGCTGGAGATATGGCTCAGTGGTTAAAAGCACTGGATGTTCTTCCAATAGGACACAGGTTCAATACCCAGCACCCACATGGCACCTCACAACTGTTTGTAACTCCAGTTCCAGGGGACCTGACACCAATGCACATAAAATAAATCATATAGTGATTGCTAGCAAATATTAGAAACTGAGTTCAACTGGGCAGTGAGGGTGCATGCCTTTAATTCCAGCACTTGGAAGGCAGAGCCAGGCAGGTCTCTGTGAGTTTGAGGCCAGCCTGGTCTACAGAATGAGTTCCAGGATTGGCCCCAAAGCTACACAGAGAAGAAACCCTGTCTCAAAAACAAAAACAAAAAGAAACTGTGTTCAAATTCTCAGCAACCATGTAAAACCCAGATAGGCCACCCCAAACTCCTTGGCCAGCCAAAATGATAAGCCCCAGTTTCAGTGAGACACCTTTTCTGGAAAAAATCAGGTGTGGAACAACAAGATGGCTCGGCGGGTAAAAGCACTTGCTGTGAGAGGCTAAGACCTACATCAATCTCAGAGCCATGTAAAGGGGGAAGGGCAGAGCCAACTCCACATGTACACTGTGCAATGTATCCCCACATATACACACCACACACACTAATAATAATAGTAATAATAATAAAATTTGGGGCTGGGTACAGTGGAGCACACCTTTAATCCCAGCACTCAGGAGGCAGAAACAGGAGGATCTGTGAATTTAAGGCCAGCCTAGTCTATATAAGTTCCAGGCCAGCCAGAGCCACATAAATCTGAGTCACAGAGTCTCAAAAAATGGGGGGTATGATGCTGGGACGTAGTGGCACACGCCTTTAATCCCAGCACTCGGGAGGCAGAGGCAGGCGGATCTCTGTGAGTTCGAGGACAGCCTGGGCTACAGAGTGAGTTCCAGGACAGATGCAAAGCTACACAGAGAAACCCTGTCTGTCTCTCTCTCTCTCTCTCTCTCTCTCTCTCTCTCTCTCTCTCTCTCTCTC